AATCAGAGAGCTCAGAATAATGTTCTCATTTCTAATCAATGTGACAGTGATGATAATCCTCCTTTTTTATATTAAGAGAGAATTAATCAGCCTTAACCGTATATTGTTAAATGGTTACAACTAACCATAGACATACATCAGAATGGGCTAAGGCCCAATACTATATTTAGTCTAATATGAGGTTGAATATATGATCTTCCACATGATTCCCAAGAGCAAAAATCAGTGCTTCCTGTTGTGATCAGAGGAAGCAAGAAAAGAAAGAGAAGGAACAAGAGAGAATTAGAAGATGAAAAAGAAAATTTGAAGGTAGCCATTAGATAGAGACTTAATTAGTGTGATTGGCCAATACGAGAGTTAATTAAGTGATATAAGTTGGGTCATAATTTAAGAATGCGTTCCTTTAATTTTAATTCTGATCAGAGAAGCTTTCATATATATATATATATATATAATGTTTGATCGTGATTTTAATTTGGGGTAAAATGGCAATTCAACTATATAAGGCCATAAGCTTAGGAGTATCCAAGATCGTAGGTTCATTTTTGGTGTACATTTTCACTCCTAAATATTAAAATCATGGCAATCTCCCCAGCCATTTTTCGTAAGTTGACTAAACAACTATAACAAAATCTCAAAAATTATAGAAAATGACTAAAAGAATCATACATAGAGACTCAAAAATTATAAAAAATGACCAAAAATAAAATTTTTAATTTTTGGGTCATTTTCTGTGATTCTTTTTGTCCTTTTTCCCTGTAAATTTTGAGATCTTTTTCAATAATTTTCTAATTAATTAATATTTAAAGTTAACAACGAGAGAAATTGCCCACAACTTTAAATATTTAGAGGTGAAAATGCATTACGCTCCTGGGTGTATAGGTAAAATTTTCATTTTTCCCTTTAATTAGTTATGGTGATATTTTCAACGAAAAGAGGGAGAAATTCTAAAAAAATATATTGATCAGATTGTCATATTCTTTTGACGATTGTTTTGGACTAATGCCACTATTTTATAACATTCTTCAAAACATATGCGCATTTTTTTTTAATAACTTTGTGTATATATTTGTGCCCATTATAACCAAAACTAGCTTGCCGTATTGTTTCCCCTTTCCGTTGATAGTATCACCATAAATAAATTAATAATTGAAATCACTATCCAACGTTTATATATACACACACACATATATATATTGAAGCCTCTTTGGGAATTGGGATGAAACCTACCTCATATCCAACTTCAATTTGTGGATTGACCTCAATTTGACAGCTAGTTCATGGTAACATATATTTGAGACTTAAATACAGAACGTAATGAAATGAAAATGCTACAAATGGAAGCATGATCTAGTGGATCCAATGTGAACAGAAAGAAAGTAAAAATAACATGATGCCTGCAGGAACCAATTTCCCTTAACAAATTTTTTAATTATATAAAAAGCCCTGAAACATTTTAACCTATATGAAATAATACTCTCTCGATTCAAAAACGTAAGGTATTTTTAGTGCTTCAAGATATAATCATTGTCTTTTTTAAAAAAAAAATTGCTCCTAAGAATAAATCACTTTATATTTATTTTAGAGTGAAATACCCTATTAAATAGGGATAAATATGAAAATATTATTTTAGTTTGAAGAGAAGTAACTACTTTCTTAGGAATTAGATTCGATTAAAAATAAATTATATTTTTTAATAGAATGAGTTGAAGATAAGGCGTGGGAGTTTAATATGCATCTCAAGTTGACTTTTTAAATTTATTGTTTTTACATTTTTTACCTTATAAAATCATATTAACTCACTTATAAACTCAGATTAGATGCAAACTTGGTTAAACTTATTAATTTTTTTTTAAAACTTTAACAAGTGTATATTGTACAGAATTTAGTTTATATAAATGGTAGGATTTGGTTCAAAGAAAAATAAAACTCAAAAGGTAAAAATTAATATTAATAAAAAAAGATAACAAGAAATACCAAAAATAAGTTGCCCTAGTTTGAAATTTCTATGTTAAGTATGATAATTTATCAATGTGTATGGATTTAATTTCAGTTTTTTATATTTGAAATATATTTAAATTAAATTATATATGGTCATGTTTTGTATTTTAATTATTCAATCATATACTCTAATAGTTATTTATTAATAAAAGTAAACTCTTATGACTTTATGATCTGAGTTTATATTTTTATCATGAATTTATTTAAACTCATGAGTTTGACACCTTGCATCTAACTCCATTTATTTAAAATAATATTGTAAAACTAATTCTTTTGGATAATTTTAACTTTATACTTCCTGTTGTTTTTATTTTTTATTTAGATATATTTTTTGGTGATATTTAGATATTTTTAACTAAATAATTAGCATCCTAATTAACTAAACAATCTCCTCTTATATTTATGGGTTTGGCTAAAAATAATTTTGAAATTTCAAAAGCATAAATTGATTTTAACTAATTTCTCAACCACATAAGAAAATCTAGAGTTTTTTTACAACAATTTCTTAGAAGTTTTGTAACTCTTCATTCAATTTAAAAATTTTAGAATCCATGCCATAAAAATGTCTCAATATTAGTAGCTTTGTATGGTTGTCCATTATAGCATGAACTGACCAGATATATTTGTACGCTATACCAAAAGAACAAAATAGTAAGTGGTCAACAAACACTATAAAAAATGACTTTTGATAGTCACTTAACAAGTTATTACTAAAAGTTCACTTTTGACAGCAACAATTAAAGTTACTGCCAAAAATTCCTTTTTGGCAATGACATTTTATCATCGTCAAAAGTCACTGTCAAAACTATACTTTTGGTAGCAACCATTAAATGTTGCCGCCAAAAGTCCACTTTTGACGGTGATATTTATCGCCACCAAAAATATTTTTATATAAAATAATTTAAAATTTTAAAATAATTTATATAATTCACTTTTGGCGGTGACAGTTGTCGCCACCAAAAGTATTTTTATAAAAAATTTAAAAATTTAAAATAATTAATATAATTTACTTTTGGCAGTGACATTTGTTCCTACCAAAAGTATTTTTATAAAAGATAATTTAAAAGTAAAAAATAAGCTCGATCTTCATACCTTTCTCCTTTCTCAATTGTAGGCATTGCAAGAGTGTATATAGTAAGCTCAATCTCTCCTCTTCCTCTAGCTGAGAAGTTTTTTTCATTTTCTAATTTTTACTGTCAAAAATTCTGCCTCTGTTTTTCTTTTTTTTGTTACTACCGTGAGTTGCTTGAGAATGGAGGAGCTGAATTGGTTAATGCTGTGCATATTGTTATTGTAATGTTAAGTTGAATGTTGATGATAAACTTTATGTGGGAAGTTGATTCAATGGCTAGATGATTATTGTGAGCTGAAATTGGATGCCTCAAGATGCTTGTGAAAATGCTTCTGAAAATGCTGAATGAAAATTTTAGGAGCTTTTTATAAAAAAAAAATTAGGAGCTATTTTGGATAATATTGGATTCTATTCTATTAATGCTAAGCTAAAGATTGATGAAGAAATTAAATGCTGAAAATTGTTGAATTTTGCCTCATGATTTATATATTGGTGATTGTTTTCATAATGCTTGTAAATATGCTTGAAAGATTTGTTGGTGAAAATTAGATTGTTAAATTTCACTGTAGAGCCAAGAGGAATTGTATATGCAAATTGGGAAAATATATGTCTTCATATAAATTATAAAGTTGATCTACCTGATGGAAAACTTGGAGGGAAATTATTAGACTAAACAATAATTAAGATTTCATTAAGCTTGAAATAAGAGTTGTATTAATGGTTATGGTTGAATGTTGCCTAGTATTGTTAACTACTTGATAGAAGTTGTTGAAGGATTTAGTGAAAATTTAATAGGGTTAATGAGAAATTTGAAGAATATTATCAAAGATTTTGTATGTTAATTGAGTTTGTTTATTATAAGAAGGGAAATTGATAATAATAAAGGATTGTTAGATTATGTGTTATATTAAATTGGGGCATCATTTGAGTAAGCAAGAAATTTAGGGTGTCAAACTATAAGATCTTTGGAAACTCATATGAGTAGGTGATGTCCCAAATAATTTCTTACAAAGTATTTATAAAATTTCTTTATTGGAAGAATGACAAAGAAGTCCTCAAAAGATTAATTAATTCAAGTTAAGTCTCAAATGTCAAATTTCAGGAATTTGTAACTTAATCTCTTAATTTTATAACTCTGTTTTGATGAACTTGCAACTTGTATTCTAAATTTTAATAGAAAAAAAAAATTTTTATTCTTCAACCATGTTAAAATTTGAAAAATAAGTTATAAATTCATCACAACACAGTTACAAAATTGAAAGATTGAGTTGTAAATTTCTAACGTTTGACACTTCAGACTTAACTTTAATTAATTAGTTTTTTTGGGATCTATTTGTCATTCTCCCTTCTATATTTAAATTTTTATAATATTTCTTTATAAGTTGTATATATATTCTTGTCAATTCTATTTTTATGATTTATACAATTCTTCTTACTTACTCACTTTTATATTAATGGGCTTATTATTGAATTTGCTTTATTTTCATTAAGAATTATGATATTATTAAGGAATAATTGAATTTGGTGCATTATTAATCGATCATTTATTTTAAACATTTCTATTGTTTAAATTTTATAATTTGTATTACAATTATTAATATTATAATTCATGCATGGAGAAAATTAAAAAGAAAATTTAGAAGTTGAAAATTATATTTTTAAAAGAATGATTTTCAATGAATGTTTCAACTCTATGCACGCTCGATTTAATTAGAGAGACTAAGTTTATATAATGGCTCTAAATTTTAAATTGAACAAAACTTTTTTCTTAAGGGATATTTTATTTAAACAAGATTTTTTAGCAAATTTAATTTTTATTTTTATTTCAAATCTTAGAAGAATTGGGGTTTTTTTTGTAATTTTTCTTGGGTCTTTCTCAACATTTTCGTTGTGCTTTTCTAGCACTTTCCCCAAGCTTCTTGATCAGTTATATTTCTGCGCATGAAAGTAAGAAAACAGAGCATTCCATTTTCGCTTCTTCACCGACTTTGAGCTCTCTTCTCCCCTCACCGTCGAACTCTTTCCTCACCGTCAGGTTGCTCTCCTCGCAGTCAATCTCCTTCTCCGCTTGCTGAACCTCGCCATACCTGCTCGTTTCCTCCCCACCGTGAGTCTGTTATGATTCCTGGCGTCAGTTCTTCGTTATTTTCTCTGGTCTTTTTTCCATGGGTTCACGCTGTAATGCTTCTCTTTCACTCCTGTTCTTGTTGATGTGATCTAAGTCGGTTCATGGGAAGGGAAGCACGCAAGATTCTTAGTTGCTCGCTGGAGGTCTACTGCTGAATCTTTCTCCCTGTTCAGCTAAGGTTCTGTTTCTTCTCCCTTTTCGTGCATCTCTGATTCTGGAAAAAAAAAGGCAGCTTTGATTTCTTCTTCTTCCTCCATTGTTGGTTCTGTTGTGCATGTGAGTGTGTTTTGTTGTTGTGTTTGAAGTTGCAAAATTTTGTTCTATGCCCTGCTGCTGTTCGTGTGATGAAAGAAAGAAGAAATTGAAATTGAATTGGAAATAATTTTCCGACTTGTGAGTGTGGACTGTTGTTGCTGTGCGTAAGAGTGTGGTTTGCTCTGTGTGTGGGTGAAATTACCAAATTTTAGCGTGTTTTCTGTTGCTGCCGTGCTGTTATAGGGAAGTGACAATTCAAATATTGGGCTGCTAATTTATCTTTAAAGCTTGAGAATGATACACTCATGGGTCATAATTTTTGAGTTGAACTAATTTTGTTTGGACTAGGTGATGTTGAAGAATTTGTTAGGGTAAAGTTGAAAGAGAATAGCTTAAATATAAAACTTGAATATTTTGAAGAAGTCTGTTGTCTGGCAATGAAGTCCTCCTAATTCTAAGTAGCCAAAAACCCAGTGTCTCTTCATTTTTTTATTTAAGAGAATAAGAAGGAAATGTTTGAATAATATTGATGATTGAGAGTATTCTATGAAAGATATGTGCCGCTTGCTGCTTGAAAGCATACAAGTATTAGTATATATAGATGAATGGTGATAGTGGAAGGAAGGTTATATGTGGTGGGGAATAATTATTGGAAACAAGGTCATATAGAAATCACATGGTGATGTCTTAGAAGAAGGTCTTTTCAGAAAACCAACAAGTCAGGATAAGCCGAAGGAAGAGAGGACCCCAAAATCCTTTTGCTTGAGATATATGATTGAGCAAGTTAGTTAAGAAGTGTAGTCCTGGGACATGGATGAGAGGGATCACATGATATTGTCTTACGTCTTTCTTAAATGTCAAGAAGGATCATTGAAAGTTCTTAAGGCACAATGTCTATCAAAAGGCTTTTCTAGATGTCAGTTTCATTTATTGATGTGCTTAAGATACATGCCCTTGGTAGGATTGATGAAGAAAAAATGAACCTTAAGAGGTGTCTCAAGCATGTCTTGAGATGTCGACTAGAAAATTCTTCACAGACATTAAGCTTTCAATCATTTAAGCATGACTCAGGAATGGACTACAGCTCATTTAGCTAAGTCTTCATCACACATATCCCAAACAAATCGATATCCAAGTCCTCTTTAAGACACACCCACGTGAACTGTAAGAGCCCTTGTCTTCCACTTGCCAGGCAATATCACGAATAACCTCTCACCCACCAATTATTGTAGGAACACATAACCATTCTTCTATATATACAAGCAAGCATTTCATAAGAAACGCATCTCCACAACTTCATCCTCAAGCATCAGAATTTGAGCACTTTCTTATCCTCTTAAGCACAAGAAAATGGGTTTTCATTTATCTGGGGTAAGAAGGGCTTCTTCAAAATCAAGTGAAGTACCGAAGGGATGTCTTGTTGTTTGCATTGGAGAGAAAATGAAGAGGTTTGTGATCCCTATATCTTACTTGAATCAGCCTTCATTTCAAGAGTTATTAAGCCAAGCTGAGGAAGAGTATGGATATGATCATCCAATGGGTGTGCTCACTATTCCTTGCACGGAAGATGTCTTCATAAGTGTTACATCTTGTTTCAATAGGTGTTAGCTAATGATGAAGAGATTGATTATAGGTCGGTCAAACACAATTTTGTAATTATTGGAGCAATTTAGATCATTTTTCTCTTTGTAAAGACTTTTCTTCTTATTTTTCTTCCGCTACTTGGGAAATGGAAAATTTTGTATCTGAATGAAGAAATTGATAAATAGAAATTTTCACTTTATCTCAATCAATTATTAATATCAAAGGCATTAACTTTTCTAGTTTAGGTGACCGATGAGTTGAGTTTTTATTATCTTGTAGTAAAATCGAGGGGGAGAATATTATATTATTTAATGGAGTATTTCAAGTCCAGATTTTGCTAGCTCCAAGGGTATCAACATATATATATATATATATAGGAAACACAAGTATAAGGCTTCGACTTTTTCTTTTACTGCATCGATCAGTCCCAATTCTATAAGATTCAAATGGTGATTATGAAGATTTTTTTTTTTAAAAAAAAAAATGCTTTTTCTTATACCCCAAATGATGTTGGAAGATTGTCAAATTGAAGAGATGCATGTCTTCTTGAAAAAAAAACATATTCTTATAAATTAAGAAATTTTTATAAAGGGTTATACGTGGAGGGATAATATTAAAAGTCACCAAGATCATGTCTCTCTAATTCATAAAGAAACCTTTGGATGATTATGAAACTAAAAGTTGTGGTAACTACCACTTGGTGAAAGGAAATATTATTCAAAAAAACTTAAACATATTAAAGCACCACTTCGAATCATCACTTTATTTTCTTTAGATTCCCAGCCCTCACTACCACTTATTTCTATTATCCAAATATCTAGTCCTATTGTCTTTCTTGTTGTCTTAGCTAGAGTTTTGGGAGTGCCATATACTCAAGAGTTTTCATCATATTCCGAAGGAAAATCACCAGTAACTCAATTTGCCCATGAAGATAATATGTGGAAGAAAATTAAGTTATAAGGAAAGTGCTGCCCACGTCTTAAAGATGTTATGCACAACTTTTTTCATCTCTTTTTCTTTACTCTTCATAGAATCATTCCCCCTAATAAATGATTTTATATTTCATAGGAAAAATTCTATTGAACTTTTAATTTCAACTCAATAATTATATTTTATAAAGAAGATGTAACATCATTTATGTTACCATCTGTTCAATGATATGATTCAATTCATAAAAAATATGTGAACTCAATTCAATAGTCGGTTAAACTAGGAACATATATAATTAAACCTTCTTGGTCCACTTTACATCCACTGAATTAATAATCAAGTTTCGAGTCTCATGACAAATATCAAAATAACACTGTTTTCGGTACCAACAGTACGATATGGAACGAATTGTCACATATAATGCATCCATCAATCTTACTCTCTTATATGAGTTGGCTTGATAATTTTATGAATTTTATGTTAACATCTTGATCCTTGAAAGTACCTCTAAGACACAATATCATGTGATCTCATATTGTCATTGTCCCTTTGTATATTGAAGCTTAATCTGAGTTGTATCTTTTTCCTCCGTTTTTAAGAGCCTTTAAATATAGTATTAATTTGATGATATTGCAGAGATACCATACGGCATACCATTAGACATTAGTTGATTATCATAACTAAGAATTTTCATTGGGCAAATGATGTCATACCAACTCAATTTTAAATGAGTATATATATATATATAAGAAAAGGAAAAAATGATTCTGGCTACATCTTGCTTTATACTGAGTTGAAACAATAAAAGTGAATCAAAATATTTATATCATAGAAAGCCATAATATTTTTTCATTTGTTTGCAACAAAAAGAATATTCAAAATAAACATAAACCCAAAGTTGAATGCATTAAAGATTCAAAATTGATTAAGCACATCTCATTCAAGTAAACAATTTCCTGCTTCTCAAGTTGGGAAAGAAAAAGAAAATGCAACTCTTTACAAAAAGTCAAAGGATATAAATTGCCTCCTTTTCGAAAACTGTGTAATAAACTAATCTAAGTTAGTTTCGTATTGGCATGACAATTACCATCCATTGAAGAGAGAAGTGACATGTAGAAAGCTTTCTTCCGTGCAAGGAATAGTAAGGGTGCCCATTGAATATTGATATCATGCTTTGTAACAAATTTTGTTCTTTCTCTTCCTGGACATGGGAAGCAAAAAATTGTTAATCAATGAGAAGTTGATGAATATACGTTTTCATGTTATCTCAATTAATATTCAGTATCAAAGGCATAATTACTTTAGTTTTGGTGCTTATGGGTTTTGAATTTATTTCATCTAGCGAAATTGAGGGGGGAAATCAAACCCAGATTTCGCTTTAGGTGTATCAATTTTGTCTCCCCAATTTTGATGCAAGTGATCTCCGACATACGAAGAACAATTTTCAGACTGCTTCCACTTTCACTTTTACTTCTAAAGTCCTGGTTAATGGGACATTAAGAATAATTTTAAAATTTTATTGAAAATATATTATGGAAAATATATTAATTTTTAATTTCAACTCATTAACTATATTCTCTATGAGCATTCTATGATGCTTCGAGTTCGAGAGATTGAACTCTGGCCTTTCATTATTAATTCCCATCTACACAATAACTTAATTGAAATTATAAAATAATAGAATTTCCCAGGAAATTCATAATTACATTTATTATCAAATAAATAATTTTCATTCTTCTAAGTAGTTTTCTAGGATTAATTTACATGCACTTATATAGAGACGCTTTTTCTTTTAATAGAACAAAATCACTTCATTATAATTTACTAAAATAACGAACATAACTTTCTCTTCTCAATTTTGCCAGGCCACAGAAAACAAATTTTAGTAAGCACCCTAAATTTAAAGATCAATGTCTTTGATAGTCATAATAATTGTATATTGATAAATTTCTCGCTGACGTAAACATTTTTACACTTTCCAAAGCTCCCATCGGATGATCATACTCGAATTCTTCTTCCTCTTCACTTAAAAGCTCTTGAAATGAAGGTTGATTCAAGTAAGATATAAGGACCACAAACCTCTTCATTTCCTCTCCTACATACACTGCTAGATGACCCTTTGGCGCTTCACCAAAATTTGAAGAAGTCTGTTGTCCAGCAAATGAAGTCCTCATAATTCCATGTAGCCAAAAACCCATTATTTCTTTCTCTTTTTTTCGGTGTTTAAGAGAATAAGAAGGAAGTGTTTGAATAATATTGATGCTTGACAATATTCTGTTAAAGATGTGTTGCTTGCTTCCTGAAAGCATACAAGTATTTGTATATAAAGATGAATGGTGATGGCGGAAGAAAGGTTCCGTGATGGGGAATAATTATTAGAAACAAGGTCACACAAAGATCACATGGTGTTGTCTTAGAAGGTCTTTTTCAAAAACCAACAAGTCAGGATGAGCACAATGGAGAGAGGACTCCAAAATCCTTTTGCTCGAGATATGATTAAGCAAGGGCTAAGTAAGAAGTGTAGTATTGGGACATGGATGACATGATATTGTTTTACGTCTTTCTCAAATGTCAAGAATGATCAGTAGAAGTGCTCAAAGCATAATGTCTCTCAAAATACTTCTATAGCTGTCAGTTTATTCATTGGCATGCCTAAGATACATGCTCTCAGTAGGATTGATGAATAGAAAGGAACCACAAGAAGTGTCTCAAGAATACCTTGAGATATCAACTAGAAAATTCTTCGTATAAACATTAAGCTTTCAATTATTCAAGCATGTCTCAACAAGAATGGACTACAGCTCACTTAGCTACCTCTTATCAATCATATCCTAAACAAGTGGGCATCCAAATCCTCTCAAAGATACATCCATGTGAACTGTAAGGGCCCTTGTCTTCCACTAGCCAGGGCACTATCACAAATAACCTCTCACCCACTAATTATTGTGTAGGAACACAAATCCACTCTTCTATATATACTAGCAAGCATTTCATAAGAAAACGCATCTCCACAACTTCATCCTCAAGCATCAGAATTTGAGCACTTTCTTATATCCTCTTAAGCACAAGAAAAATGGGTTTTCATTTACCTGGGGTTAGAAGGGCTTCTTCAAAATCAAGTGAAGTACGAAAGGGATATCTTGCCGTCTGCATTGGAGAGGAAATGAAGAGGTTTGTGATCCCTATATGTTACTTGAATCATCCTTCATTTCAAGAGTTATTAAACCAAGCTGAGGAAGAGTATGGATATGATCATCCATGGGTATGCTCACTATTCCTTGCACAGAAGATGCCTTCATCAATGTTACATGTTCTTTCGATAGGTGTTAGTGGCAAAGAAAAGATTGACTATGGGTTCACTATTTGTTAACTGGAGCAATTCAGATCCTTTTGCTCTTTGTAAAGTTTTGTTCTTATTTTTCTTCCCCTATTTGGGAAGTGAAAAATTTTGTTATCTCAACGAGAAATAGATGAATTGAAATTTTCCATATTATTTCATTCAATTATAAATGCCAAAGGCGTAACCTTTTCAATTTAGATGACTATGAGTTGAGTTTCTATGAACTTGTAGTAAAAATTCAGAATAAATTTTATATTCTTCAATCGAGTATTTCAAGTGCAGTTTTCGCTAGCTCAAGGGTATCAACATGCGAAACACGATTTTCATGTTTCCACCTTTTCTTGTACTTCCTCAGTCACAATTCTATTAGATTCAAATGGTGATTATGAATATTTTCTCAATTCATAAAAATATATGAACTAAGTTCACTAGTTGGTGAGAGTACTAAGAACTCAATTCAAATTGGTCCACTTTGTTCTTGGGTTAAAGGAAATTTTACCCTTAAATTATGGTTTGAGAGTATCTTGGTATTTATCTGTAAATTAGAGAAATTAATAAGTTTCTTTCTAACAGGACACCCTATTTGTTATTTGTTTAGGTGTCTTTCCATAATTTTGTGAGATATTTTTTCATTTTTTTTCAACTAACTATCAAAATTAATTTCTGTTAACAGTAAGGACTACTTAACAACATTTTCAATTATTGAAAGAAAACATTACGGCAAAAATTTTTTTTATATTTCATATGCTTGTAAACCTATAATTTAAAGGCAAAAATTGCCCCTTAATCCTTATTTCTTAATATATTTCATTGCATTGTCACACTTAGTTAATAATCAAGTTTTGAGTTTAAAATATGAACAACATCAAAGTAAAACTTTAGAAGTTTAAATAGTTACTCAACCCTTGCGGTTGGATTTCATAATAAATTTACGGTCTATATATTTTTTTGGCATCAACATTAACAAGTACTATATATTATACCATATAGCATCCATCAAATCTCTTATGTGACTATACATACGAGTTGGCATGATAGTTGAACACACTGTCCTTTAACATCTGGGTCCTTGAAAAGTAAGTACATGTAAGACAACATCATGTGATCTCTCATGGCTATTTCTATTGATTGAGTTCCTGTACATTTTCATAAATTGAGACATACCATTGTCTATATAAGACAAGAACATAAATGATGTTTTTTCATTAATTAGCCTTACTTGTGCCTTTCTGGCATCTTCTCCATGAACTCTCTGGCCTTCCATTGATTTATATACTTAATTGAAATTATAAAATAATAGAATTCCCAGGGAAATTCAGAATTATATATTTGTTATCATATAAATAATTTTCAATCTTCTAATTAAGGAGTTTTCTGGGGTTTAATTTGCATGCGTAATGTGCTTTTGTTTCCCTCAAGCTAATCTTCATTAGAATTTACTGCAATAACGAACATAACTTTCTATTCTCAATCTTGCCTTTGATGGCCATAATTATGAAAGTTACATATTGATAAATTTCTTACTGAGGCAAACATTTTTACACTTCAAAGTAGGAGAGAAGAAAGGAGACGGTGAAATCTTTCCATAGAAAATTATAATTAAAATTTCCTTCCATGCAAAATTGTGTTAGACTAATCCAAATAAGTTAATGGTCTCTTTGCAAGCTAGCTAGCACCCATTGAAGGAAGAAGTGACTTTTATGAAGACAGCTCCCGTTGGATGATCATACTCGAATTCTTCTTCAGCTTCACTTAAAAGCTCTTGGAATGAAGGTTGATTCAAGTAAGATATAAGGATCACAAACCTCTTCATTTCCTCTCCTGAGTACATACACTGCTAGATGACGCTTTGGCACCTCACCAAATTTTAAAGAAGTCTGTTGCCCAGCAAATGAGGTCCTCCCAATTCCAGGTAGCCGCCGAAAACCTTTTTTTTTGTGTTTAAAAGAAATAAGAAGGAAGTGTTTGAATAATATTGAAGCTTGAGAGTATTTTGTGAAAGATATGTGTTGCTTGCTTCTTGAAAACATACAGTATTTGTATATAGATGAACGGTGATGGTGGAAGAAAGGTTATGTGATGGGGAATATAATTATTGGAAACAAGATCATACAGAGATCACATGGTGTTGTATTAGAAGGTCTTTTTCAAAAACCAACAAGTCAGGATGAGCCTAATCGAGAGGAGACTACAAATCCTTTTGCTTGAGATATGATTGAGCAAGGGCTAGTTAAGAATTGTAGTGCTAGGACATGGATGGGAAGGATCACATGATATTGTTTTATATCTTTCTCAATTGTCAAGAAGAATCATTGAAAGTTCTTAAAGCATAATGTCTATCAAAAGGCTTTTACGATGTCAGTTACATTTATTGACGTGCTTAAGATACATGCTCTCGGTAGGATTGATGAAGGAAAAGGAATCTTAAGGAGTGTCTCAAGCATATCTTGAGATATCAACTAGAAATTCTTCACACAGACATTATGCTTTCAATTATTCAAGCATGTCTCAAGGAATGGGACTACAGCTCATTTAGCAAACTCTTTACCACTCATATCCCAAACAATTGGGTATCCAAGTCCTCTTTAAGACAACCCATGTGAACTGTAATAGCCTTGTCTTCCAATAGTCACGATCACAAATAACCTCTCACCCACCAATTATTGTAGGAAAGCAAATCCACTCATCTATAAATACAAGCATGTATTTCATAAGAAACGCAACTCCACAACTATATCTATCCTCAAGCATTTGAGTTTGAGCACTTTCTTTTTCTCTACAAGCACAAGAAAATGGGTTTTCGTTTACCTAGGATTAAAAGGGCTTCTTCAAAATCAGGAGAAGTACCAAAGGGATATCTTGCAGTGTACATTGGAGAGGAAATGAAGAGGTTTGTGATCCCTATATCTTACTTGAATCACCTCATTTCAAGAGTTATTAAGCCAAGCCGAGGAAGAGTATGGATATGATCATCCAATGGGTGCGCTCACTATTCCTTGCACAGAAGATGTTTTCATCAGTGTTACATCTTCCTTCGATAGGTGTTAGCTAACAAAGAAGAGAGTGCTTTTAGGTTGGTCAAAAACCAATTTTGTAATTAGTGGAGAAATGTAGGTCTTTTTGCTCTTTGTAAGGTTTTTTGTTCTTATTTTCTTCCCCTACTTGGGAAGTGGAAAAATTGTATCTCAACGAGAAATTGATAAATAGAAATTTTCACTTTATCTCAATCAATTATCAATATCAAAGCAATTAACCTTTTTAGTTTAGATGACTATGAGTTGAGTTTTTATGAATTTACAGTAAAATTGGGAACAAATATTAGATATTTATTTAAGTATTTCAAGTCCAGAACTCGCTAGCTCCAAGGTATCAACATACGAAAACATGATTTTCAGGTTTCCACTCTTTCTTTCACGTCCTCAATCCCATTCTATAAGATTCAAATGGTAATTATAAGATTTTTTTAGATTTTTTTTAAAAAAAAAGCTTTTTCTAATATCCCAAATGATGTTGGAATATTTTAAAATGAAGAGGTGTCTTCTTAAAAAAAAAAAAAAACATGTTCTTATAAACTAAGGGAATTTTTATGAATGATTATTTAGAGAGCTATAATATTTAAAAGTCACCAAGATCATGTCTCTTAATTTATAGATAGAGACACCACTTAGTGATGAAAGGAAATATTATTAAAAAAAAATCTACATATTAAAAAAATGTTACTCTTTTTTTTTTCGCATGACTCTGAATCATCACTTTTGTCTTTGAATACCCGACCCTCACTATAACTTATTCTATTATCCAAATATCTAAACCCATTTTTTTATCTTTAGAATTGTATCAAAGATAAAGTCAAATTAT